TATTAGTTGGATGGATAGAAACTCGACCAAATAGCTAAGAGGCCTTGGGTTCAAACCTCCATGGAGTCATGAAGTTTTGGAAAAGGATTGCAAAAAAAAAAAGTTGGTCGGACCGGTCCGACCGGCCGGTTCTTACCAGTTTAAACCGGTTCGGACCGGTTCAAAGCTTGTTACGGTCCAACGGGCCGGACCGTACCGGTTGGACCACCGGTTTGCCGGTTCACAGTCCGAACCGGCCGGTCCGGTCCGGTTTTTAAGACTATGGGTACACCAACAGAACAAACACAAACAAAATATATGTGCCCGAACAGACATAAAATATATGCATTTGCATTTAGTGTACAATTGCGGTATACTTGGTAATGTACCCCTTGCATTTTTATTTACCTCACATCATTAAGAGAAGGTGGGACACTAAGTATGTGTACCCTACATCTTTCTTCATAAAAAACAACTCTACATGCTAAAGAAAAAAACAGATCTTTGGTGCAGCCCAGTCACGATGGAGAAGTTGAAGTTTGAGATAGACTCCTCTGTTGGCCAAAAGTGAGGCTATGGGCTACAGTTGATACCTGTAAGATTTGACAAAACCAACAACAACAACAACAAAAACCCAATATAATTCTAACACTATTGTGCATCAAGATGAACCTTAATTTAAAAAAATGAAGTAAATAGAAACAATGATAATGACCGGTAATTGGGAATTGGATTTGACATAACCTTATAATTTGATGATGATTCAATTAGCCAATTGCCAAAGCAGAACGACACACCTCATTGAGTTGTCCCCGGAATATGAATCATCCGATGAGTCGGGCTGGGGCTTACATTCCCTTGGCCGGAGGAGGTTACCTTCCGGTCAGATTGGGAATAAAATTAGGATTTTTTTTTCCAGTCCAAATCATATTTTCACTGTATGATACATTGAAATTGGGAATTTTCAGTACAATCCGTCAGATTGTATGCATTTTTTTTCCGATCAGATTAGGAACTAGAAATTTTAAATTATCAATAGTCATGAATCGATTTCATTCCAGTTATATATCATGAACGAATAAAATGATAGGAAAGCAAGTCTAAAAATTCCATATGGAAATTGTAAGGTTATGCAGTAAAATTACCTCATCGTCATCCCATGGAAGAATGAAATTGAGACGTGCGCAGAAGGAAATTCATATTTTCACTACGATTTTCCCTTGAAAAAAAAATCGAATCAAAACAGGATTGCAGAAAAAGAAGTTAAAACTGGTTAGAGCGCTAAGTTAGGAAGTTAATTTCAACGCAATTGAAACCCTATTATAAATTGGTTATAAAAAATATATTCCGCTGCCGGGATTCGAACCCGGCCGGGACGGAACCCGGTAAACCAAGGTTGATTTGCTACAGCGGACTAGAAACAACTATTTGGGATGCTACAGCAAAGTACGGAGTATTTGTTTAATAAAACTCAAATGTAGTGCTCCCTATTTGTTTCAATAAAAGAAAATCTAATATTTGCAACAATTACCAGAGACATTTTTCCGCTACACAATTGGGACGCAATCCGTAATTTGGGGGATTTTTCACAACGGATAGGCGGGATTGTGATAACATGATTAATATCTATTGTAAATTTGGTGCGCGATTAATTAGCACATTTTTCTAGAAAACTATCTAAAATAGACAATTGCAAAGTTGCAATGTGGAATGGTATCCAATCCAGGACCGGTCCTAAGAATTTGATGATGTGGACCGAGACGAAAAAGGTCATAAAGTCCTTATCCCCTAATGGCTTAACAAATTAAAATATGCAAATTAATTATATTTAAATGAAAGTTAACATAATAATATTATTATAACAGAATGTGTAAATGACAAAATCATAGTAAATGGTTTATATCTACTTAGCTCTCCAAACCAATGTCTTGAAAACGAGACCAGGCGTCGACCCGAACGTGTTAGTGGGTCAAGGGTTAATTGTTTGACTAGAGAGTCAATGATCCGGTCAATTATAATTAAAAGAATAATACGTAGTATTTTGTATCATATCATTAGTCTTTCACTCTTCAATCTAGTTTTCAATATCATTTTGCATATTGTGTCGCACTTTCATTTTTTATTTGTATTATTTTTTATTACTATTAAAATTTAAATAATGAAAGCTAAATAATGAATATCTAATAAATACTAAAATAGTAATTTAAGGTAATACTCATTATTTTAAAAAGTAAATTAAAGGCTAAGTAATGTTTTCTTATATAATACTCCGTAATTCGTACGTATCACTTTACACTTACACTATATTTAGTTGGTTGAAATGAGAAAAACTAGAAGTAAAAATTAATTTAAATATATTAAAGAATAACTAATATATATTTCTTTTTATGTATTTATTTTTTGAACTTAAAATAAGTATATTAGAAACTACTTGTATTTCTTTTGTAAAATAATTGGAAGTTTTAATAATATCAACACAGAATATATGTATCCTTTCCTTTAAATACTCCTTCCATCCCAAATTATTTGTCACATTTCTATTACCGAGGCAAAATATCAAGTTTTTTCAATTCATTTTATTTACATATTGGTAAAGAAATAAAAAATAAAAATTACATATCAAAAAACTACATGAAAAGTTTTTCGAAATAAGAGGTGTCAAGAATATTTTATTTTATCAAATAACCAATGAAAACGTAGAAATAAACAAAAGTTCCCGCGACTGTTGAAAAAGCAAATGTGGCAAATAATTTGGGACGGAGGGAGTACAAATTTGTGACTCCAAGCTATGAGATGTTGCCATTTGGCAATTCTTAAAGCATAATTTTTGGACATATCAGCGCCACGTGTCAGCACAAGGAATATCTGCCTCCATTCTCCACCGAAAAGGAAAGTCCTGATTTTGGAAGATCTGCTCTTCTTCGCTGAATGAAAGACTGAAATTTCTTAATATAATTCTACGTGGATCTCTCCTGGGTTGACCCAAACTCGTCAGTACTGGATCATGAATATATTGTTCTCAATCCGAATCTGAATTGAATTTGAACTCAAAGTAACCCAAACTCGAAGTGGTCGAATCTGAACCCATCGAAATCAAAGTTTAAAAGCTTTGACGAAGAAAAATCAAATAAAAGATTAAATTAAAACGAAGGTAATATAAATCGTTCTAAATCATATGAGATTCTAGGGTGCTTAACAAATACGTACTCTCAAATATTTAAGAATAGTACACTATGTTTGGTTCAAAGAATTCAAAAGGGAAAAGAAAAGAAAATGAAGTGGAAAACAAGTTTTCTTGTTTGGTTAGAAAGAAAAAGTGGAAGTAAAAGAAAATGAGAAGGCAAAATGTACCGAGTGGAGGGAAAACTAAATTCCTCCCATTTTGGTGAGGAAAATGAGAGAAAACTATTTTCTTTTCTTTTCCTTCAAAATTCCTTGAACCAAACATAGTGTAAAAAAATTCTCAATAGCGGGGATTGACCCCTGATTATTTGCAATTTCTCAACAAGCCAGTGCTACAAGGGAAACATGTACAATTGGTTCAAGGAATTTGGGAGGGAAAGGAACAGAAAGTGAGATAGGAAAACATTTTTCTTGTTTGGTTAAAGAGAAAAAGAAAAGAAAAGTAAAAAGAAAAAAATGAAAAATCAAAATTTATTAAGAGGAAGGAAAACCATAATTCCTCCAATTTTGATGAGGAAAATAAGGGAAAACCATTATTTTCTTTTCTTCCCAGTTCTTTGAACAAAATATAGTATAAGAAATAAAATTCATCTATTACATGTTCCCCTCTAATAAGTTTGCCAAATGGCGCTAAAAAAATTCTCCAAATCCGTTACAATATGCATTGTTTCAAAATTAAATTAACTTTAGTTTTGGCTCTAAAAAAATTAACTTTAGTTTTTTTTGACTTTCCATTGATTATGCAATAGAATAAAATGTTTTTCTAATCTCTTGTTTTATAAAATTTTAACCTAGTTTTAAAAATGTAGTTATCATTTTTTTTATGTAAAAATCTCTTTAAAATCTTATTTTGTTTAGAGTTAGAAGATGCTAGAATCTTTTTGTTTTTCAAAAAGAAAGTTCTCTCTAGCTAAAACTATAATAAACTTTTTAAAATTATAATTACAATTTCGAATAAAGAGCATAATAGAGAATTGCGAAGCCATGTAACCCCTAACCTGAGATAGGGTAGGCCAAAAATGCAAAAAAAAAAATCCGCTGCCGGGGTTCGAACCCGGACAATGATTGAAGTTCAGGGTAATCAAATATCATTAAGCCAGTGCTACAGCGGAACCAATTTGTTAAGATAATGTTGCAAAAGTTAATAACCTATTTGCATAAACAGTCACTTAATCCATTAGAGCCAATTTTTATGCAATTAATTCATATACAATCGATATGTGAGCCTGTCAACTAAACTTGAGCCCAAATAAAATTTTCATGGTTTTGGATCGTCTATTTACTAATTTTACTACTTTCCTAATTCTTACGGAGTATATGTTATTGTGTATTTATTTCGATAATAAAGCTTTATAAATTCTAAAGCTAAACACTAAAATATATAATACTCCGTCATGAAACTAAGTTATAATGCAATCCATAAATTAATTTTTTTTAAAAGTCTCATTTTAACAGGGATTTTAATAGGGCAACACCCCCTTGGCAAGGGTTCAAGGGCAGCACACCAAAGTAGAGTCCAAGGGATAGAGTCCCTGGCTGGGTAAAAAAAATCACTTGAGTTTTTAATGTGATGTGTTTAAAATAAAATTCACTTGAATTTTAATTTTCATAACTTGGGTATAAAGAATTTCTGAAAAACGCTTCTTTTGATTTTCGCGTGACTATTAGAATCCGTCAAAGGCATGGTCAAAAAACAGAGAGTTCAAGAATTCATCACAATATATAGTTGTTCTTGATAAATAATTTGAGCTTTATCCGATTGATTATGGAATGAACACACAAATAATCAATATGAAAGTTTTATCACGACTCTCAAACAAATTCGTATTATCTACGATTTTCCCAACAAAAATTAACATATTACACAAGACCCACATGGAACACAACAAGTGAAATGATGAACGAAATCCTTCCTCCTAGAAGGCTTTCGCTCATTGCGGGATAAGAAGAGTCGGATATACGTAGCCTACCCTACAAGAAGAAGAACAAGAACAACAACAAGGCCTTATCTCACTAGGTGGGGTCGGGTCCTAATATTTCAAATATAGAGCAGATTTTTCCAGATGAAGCGTCAAAAGTTGCATTGACTAAGAGCTACTTCACTATTTAAAAAACAGAGAGAGAGTCTAAAGAGCCATTTTGCTTTACTCTATCATACCCCAAAGCAAAAAAATAATGAATCTTTGGCTCTATCATGGAAAATGCAGTGTTTGTCTGTTTGATGAAGAAAAAGAACATGCATATGATCAACTTGAAGGGCAGAGGCTGAGACAATCTTTAAACATGGTGTCCTTCCCAAATAGGATTGCAGTGGGGGCATTGACTGCTACTCAATCAACACATTGGTTAAAAAAAATGACATATAGTATAATTTCTCACTTGGGCCAATGCATTATCTTACTGGGCATATATCTTCCTGCATAATCTGATGGGTTTTCTTGAGTGAGTGGTTGAGCCATCCCAATCCCAAGTGGGGAATGATGTTTTGTACCTGCAAAGTTGGTAGTAGGCATTATTATTATTGGAAGACAAAAACATGTGGAAGACAAATGAGCTATCACACCAATAACATAACATCATCTTGCAAGCTGGAAACTTCCTGAATGGATCATATCTATCTATCTATCTATCTATATAAACACATTCCAATGGCTAGCTACTCCATCCAACAAAACACAAACCAAGGTCTTTCTTCAGAGAAAACAGAGTTTCTGCTTTCAGAAATTGTTTTCTGTGATTATCTCATTCAAATTCATACTTCAAAAGGAAAAATGGCAATCGGCATGGGGCACATTCTCCGTGGGAAACATGGCCTCAGAAGGTCTTCCTCAAGAACTAACAGAGAAGGCGAGGTTCCCAAGGGTCACTTTGCAGTCTATGTAGGCATGGGCGAGAAGAAACGCTTTGTCCTTCCCATCTCATACTTAAAGGAAAATTCATTCCAAGACTTGCTAAGTCAAGCTGAAGAAGAGTTCGGATTTGATCATCCTAAGGGCGGACTTACAATTCCTTGTCCGGAGGACACTTTCCTAGACATCATCTCTAGTATGAGTAGTAGATCTTGAAACACTTCATAATCTTTAGTTCAGTCATTAAAAAAACACCATAGGGAAATGTAATTTTGTACAGTGTTCTGTTTTTCCCCTATCAGATTGGGAGAGATATATGGAGTATACTTTTTTGGATCCTATCAATTCTCTAACTATTTACCACACTACTCTCATGTTCAAGTCAGGAGTGCTCATATATTATTTAATATGGATAGTAGACAACTAGTTCCGTAGAAAGGAAAACGAGAAAGTAGACAACTAATTACAAATGTTGTCTGCAAAGTCAAGTTGATGATTAATAACATTTCACCTCTTAGAACTACTGTGCAGCTTATGAAGATGCACCAGAAGGAGTCCAAGAACTACTGAACTGTTTGTTTTGTAGACTTGAGGCCGAAGAATCACAATTATGGATAGAGAAAACTGATCTGATGGGAAGGTGTGACACTAAGTTGTGATCCAAAACTTTGAACTCCAGCTCTTTCTTCATATAAAAGCCATTCAAGATAGTTAAGAAGAAAATAAAATCTTTGGTGATATCTTTGACGCAGTCAGTTACAGTCAAGAAGTTTGAGATAGACTGCTCTGTTGGACACGCTGATAAAAGCTGCAGTTAATTAAGAATATCAGTAAACTAGATTACTGTTAGAGTCGACAACAACCCAATACAATTCTCGGTGTGTTGGGCATCAAGATGTAGCTCAACCAGAAAAAGCATTGTTCCGATTGTTCAGAAAGAATATCAGACCGAGGCATTTCGTTGCTAAGGATTCAATGAAAGCCGTCACATTTTGAATTCAACTCTTGCTATAGTGTTGATTGAAACCCTGCACTTTCATATATTCCTGTGATTCGGGAACTCCAAAGATATCATATTTTGCAGGCAGCAAAGCTTTCTTTTAAGAACTTATAACACCCAATGAATATGCCAAGTAGCTCCCTTTCTTTTAAGAACTTATAAATGCTCACAATTATCCCAACCAGAAAAGGGAGAAATAAGAAAACTTTCCACTCCAAAAGGTTGACATCTACTCTTCACACCATTCTCCAACTTGATTACCTACCATTCCAAAAGGCTGACTCTAGCTCCAATATGCAAAAAAAGTTCAAAAAAAGCATTTTGGAACTATGAAACATCATGGTTTGTCCTTTATCTTGAGGCAATCTCTCTAACATTCCAAACAAAGAAGACAATCATCATTTAGAAGAAGAAGAGAGGAGCAATGAGCTTCCTGCATGCTTACAAATTTTTTGATTTCGTAGTGTCCGATAAAACTCAATCAGAAAGCCACTCTAGTGAACACATTCCTCAGCCCTTCTTATCTTAGTTCAGAGAAGCTGATGAAAACAAGTGTAGAGGAAGCCTTGCTCAAAATTCCTTGGAATTACATCGGAAGAGAGCATGCAAGATCCTTGGCAAGTAGATTGCAGTGTCTGATTTTTTAAAATGCAGAAGAAGCTAGCAATCTATTTAACATGTTCAAAAGGCTGGCTTTAGCTTCGTTTCTTGACAAAAGCAAAACCATGTGCAAACTAGACATATGGGGCCATTTATCTATTCAATCAGGAAGACATTTGATCAGCATCACATGGCTATATTTCCCATTCAAGTAAATCAGTTGAGCTATTTTCTGGGCAAATACCATTAACCTTCTCCTCCCATTCTCGTTTGGATGGCATACATGGTTGAGCTGTCCACATCTGTTCAAAGGCAGTAAAAAAAAACTAGTGATGTTTTTCCAAAGAAGGTGTCATACCAAACTACCACTCCTTGTCCTGTACCTACCAATAATCTAGACATTATGAGAAAACATAACATGTGGTAATGACAGAGTGGTTGAGCTATCTCAAGTTCATTATATTCATATCACTTATTCCACCTTCTAAAGGATCCTATATCTACAATATAAACACATCCCAGTTGGTATTCAACAACACAAAAACTCAAAGAATTTCTTCACAGTTCCCACAAAACATTACTTAAGCATCCAAAAGCTATTTCATCATTTAACACTTGCTCCAGCCTCGAGATTCTAAAGAAAAATGGCCATCAGTATGGGGCGCATTCTCCGTGGGAAGCAAGGAGGCCTCAGAAGGTCTTCCTCAAGAACAATTAGAGAAAGTGAGGTTCCTAAGGGTCACTTTGCAGTATATGTAGGCGAGGGCGAGAAGAAACGCTTTGTCCTTCCAATAACATACTTGAAGGACCATTCATTCCAAGACTTGCTATGTCAAGCAGAGGAAGAATTCGGATTTGATCATCCAATGGGCGGGCTTACGATTCCTTGTCCAGAGGATACCTTCATCAGCATCATCTCTGGCATGAGTAATAGGTCTTGATAGACTACAGAGAACTTACTATGTAGACACCACAACAATTTTGTAGTCTGTACTGAAACATATTCTTGTACAATGTTATACTAGAATTTTTTTTCCCTGATCAGATTGGGAAATATTAGAAATTTAAATTCTTTTATCAATAGTTCTGAATATATTTACCTCGCAATACTCCTTTTCCCAAATGGTTGAAGTGATTGGAAACGGAGTTTAATAATTCCAGACATTTTAAAGCTCTAATAGAAATTAAGATTTATAACTCCTAATCATAGGCTGAGTGCACAGAGGTATCCAATCTCAATAACATATCATCATGCAAGCTGGAAAATAACTCAAAGATTACAAATCTATATAGCCAAATTCCAGTACTTAGGTACTCATCCCCCTAAAGATCAAACTCAAGCTAATACTAAAGATTTAGTTTTACACCTGTGAATATAGCATCAAGATTAGTACAAAATAGTTAAAATTTGAAATATAATTCTAGAAATTACTTGATAAAAGACCCGTACAAATTAGATGCTAAAAAAGATTAATCCAAAAACAGGGATCCAATAGAGACACATTTTTGCTCACCTTGAAGGAATCGGATTAGTTGCGAATCGATAAATGGAGCCAATAGTTATGTTCTTCCCTACCGAATCCTGGTCGCATCTAATTTCTTATCAGGCGTAGAAAAAATGAATGAAGGATGAAAGGAAAATAAGATGGGATGTGAGAAATAGGCGTGGGTTCTGTGTAAAACCAAAGTTAATTTGGGGGTTTGTTTTTTTTCAAAAAGATTGAACGATCAATTTTTCGATTCTGTTTTTTGTGGTTCAATCCTGGTTTTTTTTGTTATTCGGCTTTTTAAAAAACTAGATTTTCACCCATGCGTTGCATGGTAAAAAATTTGTTTCCTTAAAAAATAAGAAGGTATTAGTACTATATTAATCATGATTATTTGTAAAATAGAAGATAATAAGTGTATTTTTCAATAACTAAAACGTCAATACTATCTATACCTTGATGTTCGTCACCAGTTTTTTGTAATTGATTGAAAGTGTTGTATATTTAGATATATAATCCTCAAAAATTATGGTAGAAATCTTGTTCAATTTATAAACCTACTGAATATATGAATTTACTCGTATAATCTAAACTAAGAAAGAAATGTATATTACTTCCAAGATAGCAAAAAATCATCTTCAAAACTTGATACAAAAATTAAAGTGACAATATAGCATTGTATTCTATCCCAAAAAAATAAACCCAATATAAATCTAGGAATCATCAAGAGCATCATGAGAGATTTAGGCAAAGTAAAGCATTTTTTACATCCAATTTAAACTCAAAAGTATCGTTGACAATAACCTTAGATAAATGTATAGTCTGTTGTTCAGCGATCACTTGTTCTAAAATTTTTCTAGGATTGCCAGTATGTTCAAACTCTATGAGTGTTTCTATCATGAAAGACTCTTTAGCAGGAAACAATCATAGTACTCAGTATGAAATTGTTGGAAATCTAAACAAAGAAGCAACTATAGTTCAAATGGAACTTTTTATTGATTTCTCCAAGCAAACCTGCAAAAAATATCTCATGTAAGTCAAGAAGATTTACCTAGTCTAAAACATTCCACTCAAATTTATCAATGTGAAGATGATTTGATGTTTAAGAGCAAACCTACAAAATAACTCAATTATCAAAACCAAACAATAGAAAGATAATCTGAAAAACCTTAAATATATCACGGTGAAGAAAAATCATATCGCTATTGTGCTATGATCGCGGTGAAAAGTATTGTCATCAAGCCTGAATTTCCTGAGATAAGATTTAGAGCACAATGCGCAACTTGGGATGGATAAAAAAAGAAATCATTTTAAAACTCGTATAGCTGGTATTACTTCTAGTGATCTACGTTTCTCATTGAAAAACAAAATACAAAGAAACACATTCGAGGTGGAATGGTGAATCATGAATTGAACAACAGAGAAATAATATAATTCTTAACATAATCGAAACCAAAATTCTATTATAAAACACAACATGAATCAAGATCAGATCAATGAAGAGAAAATGAAATCTTTAACATAATTATAACCCAAATGTGTCAGTATTAATAAATCTAAGAAACTATAAATTGAATATTTAACACAATTGACATCAAAGTGTAAGAATCATTACCTTGCTGCCACTTTGAAAAGAAAACTTGTAGCCTTGATCGCCACCATCCACATAGAAAGAAGCAAAAGAAGATCTACGGGTGGTGTTGCTGGCTTAGATCGGTCAGCCGAAGTCTTCGACTATGCAAGCCATCGTCTTTGCCTGTGCAAAATATAATCACAGCCCCCTGGGCTCTCCATGTTCGAAAACAATAGCCCGATCAATGCCTAACGCAATAAAAATATACTATGTAGTGGATTAAAACCTTAGGCTTAACATTCTGATACTTGATTAATACGTACTGTAATAAATATGGGCAACTTGCTGGTTCTGAGTGGATTAGCAGTAGGGGCTTTAGAGTGCTTAATTGATGCCCTGAGATCAATAAAAAAAGAGGCGTCACCAATGGATACTAAATCTTCAGCAAGATTTTCTTTTTTCAATTAGAAAAGTAAATACTCATATGAAGTCAAAGAAATCATTTTAAACAACAAAGTGAAAAATACAACTACAATGAAGTTTGCCCGGCGATCTATGATGAAGTGATGGCCTGAGGGTCGGTCCAATGATTATGAATGCCCTGTGCTAAAACTTAAATTGGACCCTTAAAAGATGAAGACATTATTTAGACTCGAGGCAAACTAATTAGTATATAGTGATAATAAGGCATTAGATGATTCATTGTAGCAATATTTCTTATGATATTTAAATATGAGTAAAATTATAAGTACGAAAAAGACTTATCAGCCATCCTCCATATCAAGGCTCAATGGTGCATCAAAGAAGATACATGCACATGAATATGGGTCATGTTTGTCTTTGATAGGCATGCATTCTTGAAGCTTATTGTTGTGGTCGCAAAAGTTTCAATAATCTGCAAGGATATTGAAAATCTGAATCAAGTATTTATTACTTTCTCCGTCCCAACTATTACGTCACAAATGAAATCTTATTTATATAATTACTCTGTATATTATTTAACACTGTATTTATTTGTTGGTGCAACCACCTCTACCATATTTACTTTTTTTTAAATTATTGAAAAGGTATAACAAAACATCATCATTTGAAGGGAATATAATTCTTTTTTGGACAAAAACATTCAAAGAGAGGAAAACATCTACATGGCATAAGCACATTAAAAATACGAATAAAGAGGGGAAACAACATGAGACACCAAATTTGGAGAAGCTCATTAACTTCTTCTGTAATGAAAATGTGCTATAAATAAGGAACTTTATGATCATGATTTGCATTGATCAAACGAATAGTGCTAAAATTTTTGGGCAATGATCTTCAGAATAGTGTGCAAAAAAAAAGACATACACTAAGCTATACAATATTATGCTGCATTAGATGTTGCAGAGAATAAAGAGGTACCTTTCAATATTTGTCGCAGTCTAAAACCTGTGATTTGTCCATCTTCATGTCTCGCTGGAGCCCTCCTAGCTGGTTCCAGTATCCGTGGTGTCTTCAACCTTATTCCAAAACCTTCTGGCACTGTTAAAGGTGGATGTGGGAGAGTTCGGGTTGCTGATAACAAAGTCATAGATTATCTAAATACAGGCAGCTTTGTTTCTCCTTCAGAATATAGATCAATCAAGCGTAGCTGTTACTCATTTTGTATGTGTCCTTGTGCCAGATATAGCTACTGCACTTAATATTTGTGAATTGAGGTTTTCTTTGAGCACTGGTTTAGTTTCCATTCATGAGAACATTACAGAGTTTTTGTGTCGATTCACCAATATTTAATTTCAATTAGGGTATATAGAGAATTACAAAAAAAAATATTTCAAAAAGACGAAGAGTAAAACCTACGCTCTTGTATGTACAGTGCATTCAACATCCGTGCTCGCCATTAATGGCTGCCCACCAATTTGTCCATGGTCGGGTGATCGTGTCTCCCTGGAGCCCTTTAGCCGTTTCCGAGTCTCCTGTCTCCAACCGTGACCAATTTGGGGCCCAAAATTCTAGAAAATAAAAGAATCTTAAAGAAATTCATAAGAACTTGAAACAGAAAGAAGAATATGGTGTTACCTCCATCTACCGTGCCGCCGTCCTTCTCTATTATCCGTTGAGGTCTGAGCAGCCGAGAATAAAAAGGGAGAGAAGTGTCAAAATCTATTTTTTTTCTGCTAGCTAAGCTTAATTAGAGAATCTATTTCCTGTAGCCGTTCTCAAAATCTGTATACCCTCTTCTACTTGCTGCAACTGCAACTGAAATGAAATGGGGGGGGAGGTGGGAGAGAATTGGGGTTTCTAATTAACACGGAACCGATGTGCGGCAAGATCTCCATCTACGTCAGAGCGTAAGGTTTGAAACCCTAGGCCAGTGACTGCCCAGTGATTCTCCAAGATCTCGCCCCCAATTCAACTTGAGAAGGGAATAGATTCGGTCTCTTTTGAAAAAGCCTTCAATAATTGTCCATTATCTATAGGTTCGATCCAACAATGAGCAAAATCTGATCCCTAAAGTAACAATCACTTGTCACTGGTGCTTCCATGTCCTAGGCGTCTCTTGAGTGAGATAGCAGGAAGGAGTTGCGTCTAATTGGAGAGAGAATATGGAAGATGGAAACAGTAGGTTGATGGGGATAATAGCCCTGTGGTTTGCAAAAGAGCTTCAAAACCCCCTCTACTTTCAAAAGTTATTTGTAAAATTCTTGTGGTTTTAAATAGTGCACAAACAACCCCTCTTACCTATTTTACACATGAAATAACATTTCTGCCCTTGGTTTTTCTCTATATTCAAATTTCACTCTTTTCTTTAGATTTTTTGTTATACAAATAAATAAAATAAAATATACGCCCTCTTTCTCAAATTAAAATTTTTTATTTATTTAATTTTCAAAAAAATAATTTTTTTAGTAAATGTTACAAAAATGAAATAAAATACACTTTTTCATTATAATTAAAGTAAAATAAATAAAATAAAAAATTGGATAACATATACTCTCTCTATCTCTAATTAAAAATTCTAACTTATTTGTCTTTTAAAAGTAAAATAATTTTTTAAGGACTTTAAAAAATGAAAAACAGAAAGATGAAATAAAATATGGAGTTAAAGAAAAAAACTATTTTTTATATTTTTATTTTTTTTCATTACCTTTTTTAACTATTATTACTTTTTACTTTGTACATAATATTTTATTTTTCATTTTTTTGTAACATTCTCCAAAAAAATTTTTTGTTTTCAAAAGTACATTATGAAAAATTCTAATTTGAGATGGGAAGTGTATATTTTATTTTATATATTTGTATAATAAATGAAATTGAAATTGGAAAAATTCAAGATTGGGGAAAACAAAGGGCATAAATGTCATTTTTGCTTTAAAAATAGGTAAGGGGGGCATGTGCGCTCTATTTAGAAACCACAAGGACTTTACAAATAACTTTTGAAAACAGAGGGGGTTTTGACGCCCTTTTTGTAAACCACAGGGGGCAACCATGCTATTAACCCGTTGATTGGGGCGTGGGTAACTGTTGATTCAGGTTGATTGAATTGATCTGAATTTTTGAAGTTCTGATCTCATCTGATCTGATCGGATCTGATTTGATCTGATTGGGTTTGATCTGATTTGATTGGATCTGATCTGATTAGATCTGATCTGATCTCATTGGATCTGATCTGATCTCATTGGATCTGATCTGATCTGATTGGGTCTGATCTGATCTGATTGCATCTGATCTGATCTGATTGAATCTGATCTGATCTGATTGGATCTGATCCGATCCGATTGGATCTGATTTTCTCTAATTAGATCTGGTGTAAATGAATTTAAATTTGATTTAAACTAAACTTAAAATTATTACAAAATTTAATAGTTTTAAAGTATTACAATTCATATATACATAAAAAAAGTAAAATAAGAAAATCAGCTAATCATTGATATGTTTAAACTTATACCATCTTAAAGTTTAAAAGTAAGTCTTTTTAAGTATAAAATATTATAGTTTTGAAAACTAAGTTTTGTATAATTATTTTATAAACAAGTATTTTAAAATAACTCTTTTTAAAGTATGAAAAATAAAACTTTTTAAGCTTTAACATTGCTTCCATGCATCATTTCTATCCTACAAGCTAAACAATTATTAAAAATAATGGTTTGTAGTTGAAATATAATAATAATAATAATAATCATAATAATAATAAGAACAACAACAACAACAACAATAACAACAACAACAACATTAATAATAATATAACAATAAAAATATTTAAAATTATTATATTAATTAAGATTTATGTGTGTGTATTTTTAAATAAAGTAATGTGATTTAATCAAATAATAGTAATTATTATTTAATCCTTGAAAAATATAAATATTATATTTTATATTTTTCTTGATTTGATATTATTGAATTTGATCTGGTCTGGTCTGATCTGATTGGATCTGGTCTGATCTGATTGGATATGATCTGATCTGATTGAGTCTGATCTGATCTGATCTGATTAGGTCTGATCTGATCTGATTAGGTCTGGTCTGATCTGATCTGATCTGATTTTAATAAGAATAAGTAATAAGTAGAAAAAATAAGTCATACGGAACGGACCCTTAGAGATGCAAATAGATGGAATTGGTGCCATCTAGAGATCGTGAGTGATTTTGTGGGAAGATCGTGTGTCTGCGGTTACTTTAGGATTTGAGCGAGACTTTTATCATGCTATTGTAATTAGAAGGATATTATTTTAAAGTATAAATTGACGGTTCGATTTGGTTTTAAAAAAAATTGAACAGTCGGTTTTCCGGTTTAGTTTTTTCGGTTATTCAGTTTTTAGAAAAACATTTTTTAAAAGTATATCATATTTATCAAATTATAAAAACTACCAAAAATCTATCCAAATACTAAAATTAAATCCCAAAATTGAGGAAGTACATAGAATTTATCTTTGCTCACATTTAAAAAAACTAACGTAACCTTGTAATTATTCATAATAAAAAACAAATTTTCAAAAAGTAAAGTCAACATGTAATTAAAGTCTTAAACATTACTCCGTATTTCAAAAACTTCGACTTGCATCTTCAAACTTAAATATTTAAAAAAATGAACCAATTTAGAGTTTTATACGGAACACTTTTTAATTTTATTTTCAACATCAAAATAGAAATTGAAGCAAAAAGGAAGCTTTCCATGACCAAAACAATAAAACTTGGAAAAAAATTAAACAATTAAATATACCGAAAAAGAAATAACTTAAACAATTAAATTTACGAAAAACAGAGGCTTACCATAACAAAAATGTTGACCTTCCGAAATTGTCCTATATTAGCCCCTTCTATGTTATAACGCGAGATCTATGTTATTTGAGTATGTCTATGGACCTGTTTGGGAATAGCGTTAGCTATTAGCGTTAGCGTTTTGAAAAGGCTATCTACGGGCAGCGTTTAGCGTTAGCGTTTTCAAAGTAATCTGCACCGTTAAGATTTTATCTAAAACACTAACGATAATCTCTAACGCTATTCCCAAACAGGCCCTATATTAATTAAATTTTAGGCTTCAATCCAACGGAATCTAAAGGTGCGCATATCCTTCTTTAGATTAGAAATCATTAGAGTGTGTTTATTTATCAACAATAATTTGTTGTTTATCTCATCAATTGTAAATCTATCCTTCTTTATTGATATCTCATTCTTCTTTATAATACTTCGTATAAAAAACCCCAAAGCAAAAGAATCTCACGTTATGCTAATGACGAGTCTATCATTTAGTATTAATTTGACTCCAAATAAAGATATGAGTGTGTATATCCTCTTGGAAAAATCAAATTATTTTTTTAAAAAAATAAGAAATATAAATATAAAATGAAAAGACTGAGAAAGAGAAAAAAGAAATGTAATTAAAACCCTTAATACCAAAAACATTAAAATCATATTGCAAATATAAAGAATTTAAATAAGAAGGGAAAAAATGTAGTTGATGTTACCCCAGCCTAAAAAAAAAAAGGAATCCGCTGCCGGGCTTCGAACCTGGAAATGAAGAGCTTGGTTTTTCATTTGAGACAGTGCTACAGCGGAACCGTTTGTTCTCCATCACTCTACATTTTATTTAACAAAGTTTCAATTTTCATGAGACCAATAGACGCGTAACTTTTTTAAAAGGTGAAGTAATTTGTTTTTCCTATTCCAAATTACAATTTAAATTTTGAATGAAAGGCAAAAGTGTTATAGGAATACTACCCTATTTTAGTAAAAGAAAAATGAATGTTCAATCTATGTTACATTATATCCTTGGATGGTTTCTACTCTATTTTAGTAATAGAAAAACAAATGTTTGATAATTTATCACTTTGTGGCTCAAAAGTCAATATTGTACTTCTTCACTTAAAATATTTGTTTTGTTTTCACACACAAATAGCCATTTTATACATAAAAATATGACCAAAAATACTCACCACATAATTTGTTATATTGTATAATTAAAAGTCAAGACTCCATCAACATCCCTTGTTTTGCGTTTACCTCTTACGACCAAAAATTCCACTCATAATAAATCAAGTAGGGATTATTGGCCATGTATTTTTTGAGCAGAAACTATTTTTTGAGCTTTCTTTCCCAGATCTTGACAATAAAGGCTATGAATCCACACACGTTTTTACTCCAAAGAAATACTCGTGTAGTCTTTAGTGCGCATGCCTTCCCTTTGAATTTTCAGGCAGGTTGCGTTTTGGCGACGCTCTCAACATCGTTCATCGGGACGGTGTGTCGGTCTTACCGTTCTCGGAACTTGTTAAAAATTTAGTAAAAATTAGCATTACCACTCAACGAATTACAAAAATTTACGATCTATAATATAATTTTAGATAATATTTAGAAAAATAAAATAAATAGGTTTAGAGAATAGATTGAGAGAAAAAGTGATTTTTAAAAGAGGTGGGGGAGGGGTGCATAAATAAGGTTTGAGAAAAGGAAAAAATTGAAAGCTAGCCGTTCAACGGATAGTTGGTGGGGAGGGGGATCGGCGTGGTGACTATGATGGCCATCACCTCTATCATGGTCGATTGGTCACATACTCGATCACCGTGATGGTGAGTGGTGTTCCATACTGTTGTGGACGCCACATGGTCATCATGACATCTTATCACTACCCACACTGCATGGTCTAAGTGAGTGAGAAGTTGTGTGCAGTCACACTGATGGGTTGTTGAGTGTCTGAGTTGCTCCTGATTTGTAATGAGTTGTGTTAAAGCATTATAGATAACCCTATAAAGTACTTCCTCTGTCACAGATTCATTACTTTATATCAACGTGTAAAATCCAATTTTTTAGAAATACATTATTGATAAATTATTATAAAAAAAACTGATTATGTATTTAAAAACTACATAAAAAACTTTACAAAACATGATACACCAAGAACATTTTATAGAGAAAGAATTTCTGGCCAAGCAGACAGATTAGACAAAAACACATCATCTTTCTTTTAGATAGCCTTACATATAGGAAGGAATACGTATATGTAATTGAAACATCTAACAAGCAAACTCGAATGGAATATCTACCAGTTGAAATAATGTAAAGAGAAGGGATCTCTCACCACCAGTCCGCTGTAGCACTGGCTAATTGATTGAAAGAATAGAATCTTATCCGGGTTCGAAGCCCGGCAGCGGATTCTTTTTGCTTCATGTTTTTTCTTCTTTTGGGCCTCCCTTAATTTTTTTTAATCGAACTGGAGAGGTAACAACCTCAGAACCTCAAGAAAGGTTCCTCACTGTCACACGCCTAGGCCAATAGTACCCCAGCTTATCCTCCTCTAGCAATTGACGTGCACCATTCGGTGGGAACTCTAACTCTCTCCAAATTAATGCTCTGTCTTTTCCCATTCTGGCAAGTAAGTCTGCGACTTTGTTCTGACCCCTTAGAATATGACAGATGGTAACATTCCAATCTCTTCCCATCCAACTCTGACATGCCTCAATCACTTCGCGTGCCGGACCTCTTGTAGTGTGTCTACCATGAATCCATTCAACACACTCTAAAGAATCACATTGGACAATCAGCTTTCGCAAACCTTTCTTCCATGCCCACTTTAGCCCCTGCAGCACAGCCCATGCTTCGGCAACTGTTGGATGCTTAGTATTACATGAGCACATAAAGCCTCCTATCCAGTTTCCATCATGTCCTCGAAGCACTCCTCCACAGCCTGCGCATGTACCATCAACACTCCCATCCACATTCAAACAGAAAGTGTCATTGTCTGGTTTCTGCCAACGAACTTGTATCATGCATTCTTCCTCTTGTGAGTTGTCAATAATACTCTGAATATGAAAAGCTCTCAAGATATCATCTTTTTGGTTAAAAATCCATGTGAGTTTTTCATTAACATCATACTCCATGTCCTTAAAAACATAATCGTTCCGCCACCTCCACGCCCCCCAACATGTGGTAGCAAAGATCACTGGCCACTCATGGGCATAGGGGGTTCTACCTTTCCCTGCAACTTGATCATCCATCCATTGTCTAAAATTATGATTTGAAAGCCCCTGCACTATGCTTGTGCCTAGCAATTTGTTCCATATTCTCTTAATATTCGGGCAGTCACGGATGATATGCTCCACCGACTCAGATTTGTCCACACATGAAGGACATGTATCTGCTTCAGCAAGATGCCTTCTATAGCGCTCTGCATTACATGCAAGTCTTTCATGTCTTGCAAGCCAAAGAAATGCCCGTATTCGATTTGGAATTTTAAGTTTCCAAATTTTAACCCACCCTGTATACTGCATATCTAAACCATCTATATTAGTAAGTTCATATGCTGAAGACACTGAAAACTTACCTGTCGCACTAGGTTGCCAGTAACATTCATCTTCATCATCTGTAATATAACAGCAGGTTAGTTTATTCTTAAGGTCGTCGGGCAGGTCCCCAATTCGCTCCCAATTCCACCCGACTCCTGGTATCCACATGCTTGCGACCTTGCCTTCATTAATGTGGACCTGCCTATCTAAAGGCACTTGATCTTTTAAAGAAGTCTGATCTATCCACCTATCGTGCCAAAATAATGTCTTTTGCCCATTACCAATCTGCATACTAATGCCTCTTTGGAGAACCTGCTTTGCCTTAACCAAACCCCTCCAGACATTAGAGGCTCCTGCCTTTGGTTTTATGTTATGAATCCCTTCTTCTCCATTAGCATACTTGGCCATCAAAACCTTCACCCAAAGTTGATTAGGTTCTGTTTGGATCTTCCACCCAAGTTTTGCTATGAAACTGATATTCATATCCATGCTTCGTCTAATACCAAGTCCACCTCTCTTCTTTGGTTGTGTAACTATATCCCATTTAACAAGATGCATGTGTTTTTTGTCTTCAGAGCTTCCCCGAATAAAGCTTCTGATTTTCCTGTCAATCATGGCACAGACTCCTCCAGGAAGGAGGGTTGATTGCATAGCATAATAGGGAATAGTATTTAAAACAGAAAGAGCCAATACCTGTCTACCAGCAAATGAAAGGTCTTTCGATTTCCATCCCTCAAGTCTTTGGTTCATACGATCCAGCATTGATTTGAAGAGATTAGGACTGACCCTGCCATGGATGGAAGGGACTCCCAAGTACCTTCCCAAATTATCAGCTTTTTGGTACCCAGCGACATCCAAAATCTGCGTGGCCAGGTTCTTATCCACATTGCGTGAAAAGAAGACACTTGTCTTACTTATACTAATTTTTTGCCCTGAGGTTGTGGTGAACTTCTCCAAGCATTCCATCAAAACCTTCATTTGTTCGACAGTCGCTTCTGCAAAAAGAACAATATCATCAGCAAAAAACATGTGAGAGAGAATCGGGCCATGCCTAGAGAGTTTGACGCCCTTCCATTTTCCTTGGTCAACTGCATCCTTGATGATATGACTAAGCCTCTCTATGCACAAAACAAAAAGATAAGGGGATATAGCATCTCCCTGTCTCACCCCCCTCTATGGTGTAATCCACTCTGATCGGCCTCCGTCCCATAAGATAGCAAGTCTAGCTGTTTGTACGCATCCCATGATATTACGCCTCCAGGTAGAGTTGAACCCTGCTTCTTGAAGAGTGTTTTCTAGAAATTCCCATCTAATGTAATCGTACGCTTTTTCCAGGTCAATTTTCACTGTCATAATTCCTTTATTTCCTTTTTTTTCCTCATAGAATGTAAAACTTCCTGGTAGATAATGACATTATCAGTAATTTGCCTGTTGGGAACAAAACTACTCTGCTCCGGTCCAATCAGTTTATTCATCACCTTCTTGATACGATTAGTCATAGTCTTTGTAATGACCTTATAGATAACATTACAAGACTTATCGGTCTAAGTTGACTTACCTTGCAAGGGCCACAAACCTTTGGAATGAGGGTAAGATGGCAGTCATTGCACCCACTTGGCATGTGACCTGTGTTAAGGTACCTTAGAGTATGATCAACCACATTCCCACCCACATTGTGCCACTGTTTTTGGTAAAATCCAGCGTGAAACCCATCTGGTCCCGGGGCTTTAAATGGACTCATATCATACATAGCTCTCTTAACATCCTCTGCATTGAAAGGCTGATTGAGCATGGAAGTGTCTTCTGCATCCAACGTAGGGAATCTACTTCGAGGCATCTCCAGATTTGAATCATTTCCCCCTCTCTTGAAGATATTTTTAAAGAAGTTAATAATCAAAGTTCTGGCTGAATCTTTGTCCGCCACCACTTGCCCATCATCAGACACAATGGTAATGTTATTATTTCTTACCTTTTTAATTCTAGTTGCATTATGGTAGAATTTAGTATTGAGGTCACCAGATTTGATCCATTCCTCCCTAGCTTGTTGAAACCAAAGCAACTCTTCTTGTCTAAGTGTATTACTCAGCTCCTCTTTAAGCCTCCTATTTAGCTTAATTAGACCCACATCATGATGCATTGCCAACTTTCTTTGGACCCCTCAATCCTTTTCAAAAGTCGTGATTTCCTGTGGTGAATATTTCCAAAGACATGTTTATTCCAATTCCTCAGCACATCTGTCAAGTTATTGATATTATCCATAAGATTATTATCTATTTTCCAATTTTCCTTGATGGTCTCGTCAAATTTGGGGTGCAGAAGCCATGCCGCCTGGAACATAAATCTCTTCTCAACTTGCTCTCGTTTCCGATCCAATTTGATCAATACAGGGGAATGATCTGACTTGATATATGGCAAGTGAAAAACCTGAAGGTTCGGGAATAAATTCAAGAAGTCTGTGGTGCAAACAGCTCTGTCAAGTCGTGCCCCCTTGAATGTGTCTTCGTGCATGCCTCGCATCCAGGTGAACCGACATCCAACATACCCAGGATCAAATAGGTGTTGTTCAAACATCCAATCGTTGAGGCCGTTACATCGTCGGCTAAAGAAAGCTTCTGGGTTGCTCACTTCATTTTCACATGTAACTGCATTGAAATCGCCTGCAGCAATCCAAGCATCATGCATGCCAATAAGATCAGCCTTCAATGTGGACCATAATCGCTTCCTAAGTTGAATATCTGGGTTGCATAGACGATGGCCAGATTCCATCGAACACTGCCCTCCCGCACCTCAAGCACAACAAATTGAGGGGTTGTAAACTTTACATCGATACAAATTCCCTCACTCCAAAGAATCCATATACCCCCACTAAAACCCACTGCCTCCACTCTAACCCAGTTGCTAAACAAAAGTTTTTTACAGACCCTGTCAGCTCCTTCACCGGACATTTTGGTTTCCAGAAGTGCAAGTTTTGGCCTATGTGTATTAATCAAGAAGCGTGCAGCCCTAATAAACTCTTTAGATGCTGCACCTTGACAATTCCACACAATAAAATCCATAAGAGAGAAGACGAACAACAATAAGAGAGTCTAGAGATTAGGACAACCCATTCAGTTGGGGTGTGTCCGACATCTCATTCCCATCATCGTCCATACTCTGTTCTTCTATATATGCACACTCATCTAGAGGAGGATCACTATGGTGTTCCTCCAGCCCTAGCTCTTTAATCCCATGTAATCCAATGTGTCTAGGATTATTATTAACCACTTTTTTAGTCACAACTGCTCCATGTTGTGACACCTGTACAACGGTGTGCTCATCATTCTCAGCGGCTTTATTCACTTTTTGTTTTCTTAAGGCATTCTCTGTTGTTTCTCTTTTCCTACTAGACTCCGCTGGCTCATTAATTTTAACACTCTTTCTGTTTGCTTGACCCATAATCTGTTTCTCAGTTATTTGCACCACAGGCCTCTTACCTCTGTTTTTAGTTTGCTCTGCTTGCCCAATAAAGAAACCCTCTTTTGTAACCTCTTCACCATCTGCCTCGTCATTGCTATTTCCTTCCCCAGCCCATTCTTCATCAAGTAATTGAAACCTGGATCCTGGAGGATTCTTCTGTTTCCCTTTTCCTTCAAGTGCTCTGCCAGATTTGCCTTGGTCAGCATTTTTCTTAGTTAACTCATTTCTTCCATGGTTCATGGGTCTCCTAGAACTTTTAGTAGCTATCATCCAAGGTCCATATGCTTCCGTGATCTCCGGGCGAATCTCCACAGTTACTTTCCTCGCATTTTCAATGCATGCCTGGTCAGTTCCGTGCTCGGCATTTCTATTCCCCTCATTAGTACTCCCTCCTTCAGCTGCTATTTCAGCATGGTTTAATGACTTTAATTGACATGATTCTGCATTGTGTCCATAAATACCACACTTAAAACATACAAGGTGTAATCCTTCATACTCAATTCGTCGGACACGTCGTCGAAGCCAAAACTTTGCTAAGAGTGGTTTGTTTAAATCAACCTCTACACATAACCTAGCAAACTTTCCCCTTGATACCACGCGGTATCCACCCTAATGGGTCGACCTATTTTCTCACCAGCCCTAAACAAAAATGAATAATCATAGTATTTCAATGGGAGTCCCGGAAACCTCACCCAGACAATAACCTTTTCTGTTTTGTCTGTCATAGGATCAAAATTGGGATACCACTCCTTGACAATTAGGTAATGGTCCAACACCATCCAAGGACCTCCATACTTAGCAAACTCATAGTCTGTAACAGATCCAAATTTAACAAGATAATAGTCATTTTCCAAAGTAATGAGTTCCATTCGACATTTAGGGTGCCAGATTGTGTTAAGCCTCCTCAATAGATAAGCATATCCAACCTTTCTACCCATTACCTTAACTATCAAACTCTGTCTCCAAGGTTTACGAAGTCTGGCCTTTTCCTCTCTAGAGAGCAGGATGGCAGGGCATTCTGGATCATCCTCCCGCTCTTTGTCTTCTTCCTCATCATCGGAAGCCAGATCCTCCTCAGGCAAATCTGGTTGCATTTCTGGTACATCACCTATTAGCATGGCTCGGTATGAAATGGGTTCTGGGCGCTCTAGTTTTGAGTTCGTGGGCGGAGAGATCTCCCGAGTTGTGTCGTGCAGGGTCTGAGCTGGAGTTTCCTCTCTAGTCCCATATTCGGCCTCCTGACCTTCAACCCCTTCCATGGCTACTTGTTCCTCTATCTCTACGGTAACCTTCGATTTCTTTGTGCTCCTTTCGAGTAAATCCTGGTCCTCCTTTGACCGATTCTTGGCTGGAAGACTGTTTTCCATCGATTGATTCAGAGTACGGTTGATTGGAATTTGGATCCAGAAGCTCCGAGCGCTATGTTCCGATTCAAAACGCTGGGCCTCCCTTAATTTGGGGTTAGTGTTCTTAGGCGTCCTAATTTAGGGTTCTGAGCTCTTTCTTTTGGCCTCCTGAATTTAGTGTCCTATTGGGTTCTTCGGCGTCCTAATTTAGGGTTCCTATAGCATGAATTGAAATCAAAATGCTGCAGCTTTCACCGAATGCTTGGAGATGAAATGGCTCGGCCTTATTGGTTTCCATCCCAACTGGAACAATTTACCTCCGGGTTCTACTTGATGCTCATATATTAGCCGTCTATGTTTCTTGCAATTTCAGCTCCGTCAATGGGTTCCATGCGATTGGACACGCTCGCTCTCTGATGTCCGCCGCCGTGAGCCTGGTTTCGTCGGAGCATCCATTCTGGAGCCGCAGCGGCGGTGCCGACCACGTCTTCGCCGCTTCTCACGACTTCGGCTCCTGTTTTCACACCCTGGTATGCCCCCGACATGCGTTGTTATTCCCCTCCGGCGATTATCCTCAGAATTATATGATAAAAGTCATTTCTTTATTTGCTTTTGAATAGGAAGACCGGGCAGTCTCCGATGGGGTGCCGGAGTTTTTGAAGAACTCTGTCATATTCTGGTGATGGGATGGTAGGAGCTCGCTAGGTGCACTCGATATTCTGCACCGAGCCTTTCCGAATCCAGTTTGATGTGAAATGTGAAGGAAGGTACTTTTATATTTTCAGGGATTCAATGGATGCTATTACAGTTTATTACCAGGCACTTGTCATATTTCTTAACATCATATAGTTATTGTGTCCCATTTCCCTTTTTCTATTTATTTATGCAACATTCGTGTGCCACATTTCCGTTTATCTAGTCTGCAAGCATTTGGTGATTCATTTGGTTCAGCATTGCTTAAATACACAACCAGGTTAATTTATGTTTATTTGGTCACTGCTCCAGCCTCTGGGGATATGGTGCTGACCAATTTGCCCATTATCTTCTTTGATTACATGTAAGACAATGACTTTGGCTTTATATCTACAGTTGACACTGCTTTTACACTATATTGTGGTTTGGAAGAACAAACAAACAAGGACCATGTAAGAGGATTATCTCAAAACTTGACTGGGGTTTTTGTTAATATAGATTGGGTGATTAACAAGGATAACAACACTAAAGGTATGGAGGAAGGAGTATCAGATCATTCTCTCTTGCTGTTGATACATGCTCAATAAGGTGTAGGAATTATATTACCTGTTGAGCAGAAATATGCAGACAACAGCAAATAGATTGGGGATTTGTAGAATACCAAGACACAGACAGAACCGTTGCCTTTAGAGTGATTTCACCGCGACGGTGTTGTCAATTCAACTGGTGTCACTCCCCAAAGTTAACACAGCTGCCTATAGTAACATACACCCACTAACTATAGATTCAAACAGAACAAGGCTACTGCTCAAAATCAAAGAATAAAATTTGCAGAGAGCAAAATTAGAAGCAACATATTCTGAGGAGAGTTCTCTGGGATCTTGTGATCTGTGTATATCTCATCAAAGGTTAAGAAGAAGAGCCATATATATATTAAGGAGTAGATCTCCAGAACCAACCATAACCACAAGTTCGTAGTGAAAAAATAGGATCTGTGCAAGTGATAAAATCGAAATAGAAGGAAGAAAATTTCCAGTTCAAAACCTTCTCCGGCAGAAATGGTCAAAGCCCTATGTTACCCACAACTGCCTCCAGTGGTGAGCTACTCATGATCAAGTTAGACACAAATTTTAGAAATTAGTGGACCACTTTGAAAACTGAGGCAATATCACAATGAAATTAATAATGACTAAACAACTCTTTTTGCATTTTTACCAACAATCCCCCACAAATGAAAAAGAAAGAAGGTAAAATTTTGAGCAGTAGTAAGATTTGACATTTAAGTGTTAGAGGATAACCCTTGATCTAATACATAGTGACATTGGGTATTTTCTGTCCAATGGGTGGAGATCCCTTGAACCTGCTATCTAGAAAAGGGACCTAATGACACGCATCTCATCTTGTGTACGTTCCGCATAAATAATACATCACGTTGGCCCATTGAACCTCGGGATGTCCAGGAGTGCTCTAGAAATGCAGCCCATGTATTTCATAGAAGATGACCAAACCTTAACGCTCAAGTAGGTGATTTCATCAAGTCTATTCTAAGCACAAACCACCCTATATGGGTTATGAATTTATTAAGAGTAATAACACTCAGCCTCTCATATAACAATGTGAATCTATCAAGTCTGTCTCAAAGGTCCACCCTACGAAAGGGATATAGAATCAAGTGTACACAAGTCATAGGAGTGGGTAGTTTGTACACTTTGTGAGTGTTTCCATGGCTTCGTTTGACCTCTAGAGTTGTATTCACCATGAAATCCTCACCCTGCGGGCTTTAGCCCCATTCCCTTAGATAACTCAAGGACTAATCTTCTATTTAGTCCTTTAGTGAGAGGACCTGCAATATTCTGCTATGATCTTACATGCTCTAAAGTGAGTACTCCAGTTACAATTAGTTGCCTTACTGTTTCGTGTCTAACTCGGATATGTCATTTTTTCCCATTGTAGACACTATCCTTTGCAACAGAAATGGCACTTTGTGAATCACGTGAAGAGATACATGTGAGGTTGGATGACCCCACAAGGGTATATCAGCCAGTAAACTTCTCAACCACTCAGCTTCTTGTCCTGCCAAGCCTAAGGCTATTAATTCTGGTTCCATAGTAGATTTGGCTATACAAGTCTGTTTGGTAAATTTGCATGATATTGCAGCGCCACATGTAGTGAAAACATATCCACTGGTAGAATTCACTTTGTCGTTATCGATTACCCAATTGGCATCACAGTACCCTTCTAATACAGAAGGAAAGGCCACATAGTGTAAACTCCAGTCCATGGTACCTCTAAGATACCTCATAAGTTGTTTGAGAGCATCCCAATGCTCTCGACTTGGATTATGGGTGTACTGACTAAGTCTACTTACGGCATATGCAATGTCACGCTGAGTATAGTTCATTACGAAAATTCAACTCCTATAATTTTTGCATATTATCCTTGAGAAATAGAAATCCCAAGATTCTTCTTTAAAGATATGCCAGAATCATATGGAGTTCTAACTGGTAGTACATCAAAGTTGTTAATTTTTTTCCAAACGTTCTCTACATAGTGTGACTGAGATAAAATGAAATTGTCCCTTTTTTTTGGTGACTTTAACACCTAAAATTGCATCAGCTTCACCAAGATCTTTCATATCAAATTGTGAAGCTAAAAAATATTTTGTTTTATTTATAGCATTAATGTGTGTACTAAAGATCAACAGATCATTTACATATAAACAAATAATCACATATTCAGATCCATCAACTGGGTGGCAACCATCCCAAACGAAAAACACATCCGAGCCACAAGATGCAAGGTCGTCCTCTTCTCTCATCATGTAACTTGAATGCCCACCAATCTTCTTCTGTCCTGTGGTTACGCAGAGTCTAAAGTCAATAAGCTTTGGAGTGTTGCCCTGTTGATGAACAATCAGTTGGAACATGTGATCATTATTTGAAGAAACAAGTGTTTTTTCCTTTTTTTCTTTTAACGACAATGGGATAGTCGGGTATGATTACCTCTTGCATGATTATATTCGCTGGGCAAATGTCACAGTGCACCAGCGATCCATGGTCTTGTAGGTAGGTAATGACACTTACTATTCCAGCTAGAATGTTGATTGTCGTTTTCAATGATATGTCGTCTGTGCAAAAAAAAAACAGTTAGATCAACACAATCACCATTATTCAGCTCCTCAATCTAGCTCCACATCCCTACAGCAACAACTGTACATATACCTACATTCTATAACCAATCCAGCTCTCTTATCCCCCCTCCCCCTCCAACAATGCCTTTGCCCCAAAAATAATAATAAGAATAATGATAGCAACAACAACAACAACAAAAACAAATCATTCCATCAATCATGTGATCGAGCAGGCGCCCATCAACTAGCTCATACACGAGATAAGAGTGCTGGTCAGATTCGGCAAACTCCAGGAGCTTCACTATGTTTTTGTGATCAATAGTAATCAGCTTCAACTCATTTTGGAAAAGATTAAAAGTAATGTGGTTATTAGGGTAAAGAAGGAAATGTGGCTATTTTAACACAAAGCACACAGTTACCACCTCGAAGAACTAGTCAAGCACTCTTGTAGCATCGGCAGAAGAACTAGTTAAGCACTCTTGTCAAATCTCTTTCTACAGATGCTACACGAGTGCTTGACTAGTTCGTCGAGGTGGTATCTCCGTGCTTTGTGTTAAAACAACTTCATTTCCTTCCTTGCTCGCCCCATTAACTACATTGCTTTTAATTTTTTTCCAAAATGAGCTAAAGCTAATTGCTATCGATCACAAAAATATAGTGAAGCTCCTGGGGTTCGCCGAATCTGACCAGCACTTCTATCTCGTGTATGAGCTGGTTGATAGGCGCCTCCTCGGTCACATGATTGAAGGTATGATTCGTTTTATTGTTGTTGTTGTTGCTGCTGTTGTTATCATTATTCTTATTATTATTTTTGGAGCAAAGGCATTGTTGGAGGGGAGGGGGTAAGAGAACTGAATTGGTTATAGATTGTAGGTATTTATACAGTTGTTGCTTGTCAAAAGTATGTTGCTGTAGAGATGTGGAGCTAGATTGAGAAGCTGAACAATGATGATTGTGTTGATTTTACTGTTTCTTTTTCTTTTTCCACAGACCACATATCATGGAAAACGGCAATCAACATTCTAACTGGAATAACAAGTGCCATTACCTACCTACGAGACCATGGATCACTGGTGCACTGTGACATTTTCCCAATCAATATAATCATGCAGGCCTCAATCATACCCGAGTATCCCATTGTCGTTAGAAGAATAAAAAGAGAAAACACATGTTTCATCAAGTAATGATCACATGTTCCTAATGATTGTTCATCAACAGGGCGACACTCTAAAGCTTATTGACTTTGGACTCTGCGTAACCACATGATAGAAGAAGATTGGTGGGCATCCAGGCTATATTATAAGAGAAGAGGACGACGTTGCATGATTGCATCTTGTCGCACAGAAGTATTTTCCTTTGGGATGGTTGCTATCCAGTTGCTGGCAAAGGATCCACACACATATTTTATCAACAACAAGGGCGTGAAAGTGCCTACAATAAACATCCACGTCGAAAAATGTAAGAAGACAGGGAGTCTCCTCTCATCGAGATTTGGCAATCACAAGGTGGATGTCCTCATCTCCAAATTGATTGTACAATGCCTTCACAGGGGAAAACTGCCTCCCACCAGAGAAATTCATGCGAACCTAAGGACTTTGTTGATATTGCTGTCACTTTCCTACTAGGCTCTTAGCCATTGTTGATGATGTAGTCACTCTGTTGAGTTAAACCAAACAAGTTCTGAACTAGTCAAGCACTCTTGTCAAATGTTTGCCGCCCGCCCGTGTATCAGCTCCTAATACCAAATGAGAGCCAGAACCATAAACACGGTAGTTATAGATCCTAAATAAGACACACCTTATTCCTGGAAGTTTTATATCACAAACCTGATTTCAAGATTTTCCCTTTTTCTCCATGCTTTCAGTAGCTCGCTTCTTAGTCATACCAACCATCTCACCCGAAATCTCCCGTCCCGTCCCGCATCAACTGCATTTTCACAATATAGCCACAGGGATGTTAAAATCTTAAAGTTGGATGTTGTTAACGAGATACAGAACATCAACGCAAGTTCTCTAACGGACGTAACTTCAAATAAGTAATGTTGGAAATAGCATCGTTAGGAATACCAAAAACATCAATAATAATAATAATAATAATAATATTAATAATAATAAAAAATAATAATAATAATAATAATAATAACAGTAACAGTATATTAAACATAGTTGTTACAGTACCATTTGGTTTTCTGGTGTGGCTTCCCTCATTGTAATATGTTTCTGATTTTGCTGGAAACATCCTGGTCGTGCATTTCTTCTAAGAAGCAAATAGATTTTTGGAGCACTCTTTCTGCTATTGGAGGTGGTATATATTATACGGCCACTGCCCATTTCCCAACTCTTATAAGCACAATATTGTTAGATATTTCGGTACGACCAAAAACCCAAGTAAATAAGGAGAGCAAGTTGGATAGATATGGAAGAAGGAAGTCTGCTTGATCTTTGAACTACTATATGCCATCTATATTGTATATAAGGTTTATGGTTTTCATTATTTCAAATCCAATGCCAATTTAATTTAAGAAGAAATTCTTTTGAAGAAGAATAACAAGAAGAAAGATATGGCTACCAGTGTGCCAGTGAACTACGAAGAGAAAACACCCCATCTTTTTGGGTTCCCTGATAGTTTTGTCACGTTACTGGTCATTAACATTGTTCCTTTCCTTCTATCTTTTTCAAATCTCCCATATTTGGGGGAAGAAATAGGTCTTTGCGTTTTTCTTTTTTTTCAACCTTTGCCTCTATGCTTCTTATCTCTGTACTGCCACAAATAAAGTGATGAAGAAGGGAGAGTAACCATTCATTGGAGTTCTGGAATGCACATGTAATCCTTAAAGAAGAAAAATGAGGAAGATGATCGCCTTCCTTTGCCCCTCGGCCCCCTCCGGGAATTACAGATCAGTTTTCTCTATCCTTATCTCTGTAATTGTGATTCTTTAATTTCAATTCTACAAAACAAGCTGAACAATAGTTTCACAGGTCCTAAGAGGTAAAATTTTCTTAATTATCAACTTTATCATGCAGGCAATATCCTAAAATTAGTTGGGCACTTTCTTCAGTTATTGTTTTCATTTCTTCGGAAGTAGTTGTCTACTTTTCATATTCAACAAAGAAACTACTTTGAATTGTCTAAAATATCCTTCAAATTGGGTTTCAGCACTCCATACTTGAATTGGTGGTAAAATCATTTGAAGGACTTAATTGGGCATTTCTTACTCATTTCTTAAATATGAGGGTTTTTAGAGAGTAGACAACTAAGCCTGTAATTTTGATGTTTCATCTCTGTTTTCGGTATATTTGAAAGAGTTTGAATAATTAGACTTCATTTCATGCCACTTGATGAGGTTCAAGATAAGAGTAGTACAGTAAATAGTTAGAGAATTGATAAGATTAAAAAAAATATACTCCATATATTTCCCAATCTGATGGGGAAAAAAACAGAATACTGTACAAAAAAATATGTTTCTCTGCATTGTTGTTCTAATGACTAAACTAAGATGTATAAAGTGTATCAATATCTGCTACTCATTCTAGAGATGATGTCCAGGAAGGAGTCCTCCGGACAAGGAATCGTAAGCCCACCCATTGGATGATCGAATCCGAATTCTTCTTCGGCTTGACACAACAGCTCTTGGAATGAATGGTTCTTTAGGTATGAAATTGGAAGCACATAGCGTTTCTTCTCACCCACACCTACATAGACTGCAAAGTGACCCTTGGGAACCTCGCCTTCTCTGTTAGTTCTTGAGGATGACCTTCTGAGGCCATGTTTCCCACGGAGAATGTGCCCCATGCTGATTGCCATTTTTATTTGTGAAAGCAAAAAAGTTTATTTTCTATGAAGAAAGAGCTTGTGTTTTGTTGTGTGGGATGAGCAGCTAGCTACTTGAATGTGTTTATATAGATAGATATATAGTCCATTCAGGAAGTTTCCATCTTGCAAAAAAATATGATATGTAATTGGGATTGCTCATTTGTCTTCCACATGTTTTTGTCTTTCAATAATAGTGTGCACTCCCAACTTTGCAGGTCCAGAACATCATTCCCCACTTGGGATTGGGATGGCTCAACCACTCAAGAAAACCTGTTGTTATATATGAAGATGCCCAGTAAGTTAATGCATTTGCCCAAGTGGAAAACATGTACTCGCTCCGTCTCAAAATGATATTCCTTATTTGTACAACGTGCAAAATCTCGTGAATTTTAAAATGGTTTTATTTGTAAAACGTACAAATAAAATAAAACTTACATATTCAAAAATGACATGAAAGGTTCTACAGTACAAAACAAAAGATGACAAAAATATGTTATTCTGTCAAATGATCAATGAAAATATGCAAACAAACAAAAGTTATCGGCATGCTGTAATAGTAAAAGTGTAAATCATTTTGGTACGGAGGGAGTATATGTCATTTTCTTTTTATTCCAATGTGTTGATTGTGTTGCAGCTAATGCCCCCACTGCAATCTGGGAAGGACACTTTTCCAAAAGTGGTTCCTAGATTCCTAAACGATATTTTGTCTCTTTTCCAATTTTTAAAATAATAGAAAATGTACTTAGTTTGACTCAAGATGTATAGAAATCTAGGGAATGCTTTTGAAAAAATTCTATGGATGTAGTGAGTGAAGGGTAAAAATGGAATAAATTTTTTAAAAAGAAAAAACCGGATGGTCTGTCAGAGTTTTGGTTGGAAAAGTTACTGGAAGGAATAATTGTGCATTAGTTGAAAAGTGTAAGGACTTGATAAGCTTAAACTAATTTAGGATTTGAGGGACACTTTAAAAAAAATAAAGACCTAGTAATTTTTTCTTTTTTATGATGAATGAAGTACTATTAACTTTTAAGACGCTAGATTCACATATGTATTCACATATGTACATTGCACTGTTAGTCTATTATGCTTATGTTTTGCATGCCAAAGGATTATGCTTATGCATTTCAAATGAAAGTGAATTTTATAATCATGACACACACACACACACACATATATATATATATGATGTTTTATAACTTGATTTATTACGAGTGGAATTTTTTGGCCTTAAGAGCTAAACGCAAAACAAGAAATGTTGATGGAGTCTTGACTTTGATTATACAATATAACAAACTATGTGGTGAGTATTTTTGGTCATATTTTTATGTATAAAATGGCTATTTGTGTGTGAAAACAAAACAAAAATTTTAAGTGAAGAAGTACAATATTGACTTTTGAGGCACAAAGTGACAAATTATCAAACAAATATTTATTTTTCTATTACTAAAATAGAGTAGAAACCATCTAAGGATAAAACATAGATTGAACATTCATTTTTGTTTTACTAAAACAAGAGTTAAAAACTTAAAATTAATAGGGTAGTATTCCGCATAACACTTATACCTCTTATTCAAAATTTAACTTGTATTTTTGAAAAGGAAAAACAAATCACTTCACCTTTTGAAAAAGTTACGGGCCTATTATATTTTGTTAAATACTCCATAATAGGTAAAGTAAAAGAGGATTAACTGGTTCCGCTGTAGCACTGGCTCAAATGAAATATCAAGGTCTTCATTTCCGGGTTCGAACCCCGGCAGCGGATTTTTTGGCTTCGGGGGTAGCATCAACAACATAACATCTTTTCCCTTTTTATTTTAAATTCTATATATTTGCAATATGATTTTAGACTCCATTTGGTCCACGAAATTCAAACTATGGAATTAGAATTGAGGACTTCAATTCTAATTTTGGTATTTGGTAGCACAAAAATTATATGGATTTGAAATTGATAGTGCAAAAAATAAATTGGAATTGGTGTATTCAATTCTATGGAATTGAATCTCATGGAATTCCAATTCCAATTCAATTCCATTTCCATCAATTTTGTATACCAAACGAACCCTTAAGGTTTTTGGTATTAAGGGTTTTAATTACATTTCTTTTTTCTCTTTCTCAATCTTCTCATTTTATATTTATATTTCTTATTTTATTAAAAATAATTTGATTTTTCTAAAAGGATATACTCACTCATATCTTTATTTGGAGTAAAATCAATAATAAATGATAGACTCGACATTAGCATAACGTGAGATTCTTTTGTTCAGAGATTTTTTATATTATAAAGAAGAATAGAATATCAAGAGAGAATGATAAATTTACAATTGATGAAATAAATAATAAATTATTGTTGATAGATAAACATACTCTAATCTAAAGAATATACACGCCTTTAGGGGGTGTATTGGTTGTGGACTCTGTAGGATTTTTTTAGATTTTTAAAATCTGTGAATATTCAATCTAGATTTAAAAGAGTCTCTAAAAATAATGTGGTATTCAATAAGATTCTAAAAAGTCTTAAGAAATTTTTAGATATTCAACAATCCATGAATTTTAATAGTCTATGGATTTTCTTTGATTCTCTTCCAAACATTTAAATAGATTTCACTCTTCAAAATCTTTCCTAACAAGAGATTTCTACCGAGAACCTGTAGACAAAAGTTTAGAAGAAAAAAAACCTTCATTGTTCTTTTAACAAAGGTAGTACACAAAGCTTTTGCTCCTCTTTTGTTTTGGGATAATGTGATTTTAAGAGTTCCATGTTTTTATTTCCTAAGTAAGAGTTGACACTCTAATAATATGACACCGTATATGTACATTTTATGTAATGTACACTGTTATCATTAATAATGTAAATGCACACGAACTCCTATTTTGAGAATAAAAACATAGAAATTCTATTTTGGTATATTTTTAATATTTTATTTCTAATTTAGTCTTTTTCTCGTAAAAAAAAACTCAATAATAAAGTAATATGAATGTAATTATTGTTTATTGAAGAGTATGAGAAGAAGAGCATCTTAATTATGAAGTACTCCGTACTCTGTATCATATAAGTAAGAGTGAATTTCCAAAACGGTCCTTTCTAGGTAATAATTACCTACATGATTATTTATAATTTAGTTTATTCCCTAAATGGTGTTCCGTCGAAAATATTTATTAAATGTCATTAAATTTGAATGTTCCTTCCGTCCCAATTTATACTGTCTATTTCGGTTTACGATATTTGACTGAAATTATTTTCAAATTATTTTTTACGAAAAATGATATAGAATTAAATAAAAAATTACATATTAAAAAACTACATCAAAAGATTTATAAAACTAGTGGTGACATGAGTATTTAATTTTATCAAATGACAAACGAAAATAGAGAAAGAAAGTGAATGATGTTTGACCCTATGAATAGTAAGCACGCAATATAATTTGGGACGGAGGAAGTATTTTAGTATTTATATCATCAAGACTTAAAATATATTCTAAAAATGCTTCTTTAAAATTAAGTCATTTTACAAACTGATAATTTCTAAGTAAATGTGATCCCGAAATGAAGTCTATGAGCCTACTTAGGGTGAGTTGATTCCTCTAGCAACCTCCTACTTAATTTAAAAAGTTTATTTTGAAAACTTATTTATAATTTAGATAATGGATAATATAAGAATACCTTACATTTAACTTTAATTTAATAGATATTTTTGATAAAAGACTATTTAAGGAATACATCTCAGTTACAAAGGACCACGTTGATAATTATTACTTATTGAGGACTAATTTAAGAAAATACTTTATTAGAAAGGACCTTTTGAAAATTTACTCTATAAGTAATTATTGCTTATTGTGGAACGATTTAGAAAAACGCTAAAGGACCATTTTGGAATTCACTCAAAGATAAATTATGAGAAACAATGTAAATCACTTAATATCTTCCATATAAATGATGAAAATTTCATTTCGAAATTTCATAATGGAAGTGCTTAGCTTTAAAAAGAAGATACTCCACAATAAATACTCGTTTTAAAAATAGTTTGACATCGTTTATTAAAGAAGATACTCCAAATTTAATAGATACTTTGGAGTATAGTTTAAGAAGGAAAACATCGTTTTTGAAAGAATAGAAATAAACTTTGGATTATGGTTCTGTCTGAATGGAAACAGAAAAAGAAGATTTGCAGAAAAATCTGATATGCTGAAATGCAGTGTTTGATGAAGAAAATGAATACCCAGATGATCGACTCTGAGGCCGAGACAATCTTTAAACATGGTTTCCTTCCCAGATTGCAGTAGGGGCATTAGCTGCAACACAATCAACACATTGGCTTAAAAAGAAAATGACATATACTCCCTCCGTACCAAAATGATTTAGACTTTTACTATTACGGCATGCCGATACCTTTTGTTTGTTTGCATATTTTCATTGATCATTTGATAGAATAAAATATTTTTTTCATCTATTGTTTAGTATTGTAGAAGCTTTGATGTCATTTTTGAATATGTAAGTTCTATTTTAGTTGTATGTTTTACAAATAAAATCATTTTAAAATTCACGAGAATTGGCACGTTGTACAAATAAGGAATATCGTTTTGGGACGGAGCTAGTACCATGTTTTTCACTTGGGCATCTTCTTATATAACCTGAGGTTTTCTTGAGTGAGTGGTTGAGCCATCCCAATCCCAAGTGGGGAATGATGTTCTGGGCCTGCAAAGTTGGTAGTGCACATTATTATTGAAAGACAAAAACATGTGGAAGACAAATGAGCAATCCCAATTACATATCATATTTTTTTGCATGATGGAAACTTCCTGGATGGATTATATATCTATCTATATAAACACATTCAAGTAGCTAGCTGCTCATCCCACACAACAAAACACAAGCTCTTTCTTCATAGAAAATAAACTTTTTTGCTTTCACAAATTGTTTCTGTGTTATCTCATTCAAATTCGTACTTCAAATAAAAATGGCAATCAGCATGGGGCACATTCTCCGTGGGAAACATGGCCTCAGAAGGTCTTCCTCAAGAACTAACAGAGAAGGCGAGGTTCCCAAGGGTCACTTTGCAGTCTATGTAGGTGT